CCGTGCACGGGCAACCAGAGGGCACGACAGGCATCACGCTAGGGGGCTCTGCCGCCCTGGGGACACCTGTGCACCCCGACACGGCCTCTCTGTGCCCAGCGGGCGGCGCGGTCCTGTCCATCCGGGATGAGGCGGAGAACGTGTTCGTCTGGGAGCACCTGCAGGGCGCTGAGGGCCAGAGCGGGGGTGCCTGGCTGGGCATGAGCTTCAGCGCACAAGGTGGGTGCCTGCCACAGGGCGCGCCCCCAGGGCAGGAAGGCTGGGCCCGGAGCCCCGCGCCGCCTGCCCATCTGCCCCGTGTTCCCACAGCGGGCGCACTCGTCTGGCCCGACAACACCGCAGTGAACTACTCCAACTGGGGCCCCCCGGGCCCGGGCCCCAGCGTGCTGAGCCGCAACAGCTGCTACTGGATCCAGAGCGGCAGCGGCCTGTGGCGCCCAGGCGCCTGCGCCAACGTCACCATGGGCGTGGTGTGCAAGCTGCCCCGCGGTGAGCCACGCCCACGCGCCCCTCCTCGGGGGTGGGAGCGCGGCGTGGGGCTGGGGTGGGGGGGCAGCCCTTGAATCCGCGGGCCCCGCTGGGCCCGGGATGTGGGACTCGGCTTCTAAGTCGGCCGTGAGCCCCGGCCACCTGCAGAGGTCCGGGGCACTGACCCCTCTGTGGCCCGGGGAAGTCCTTGAGTTCTGCGGCTCGGGTTCCTCATAGGGAAGTGGACATAACAGCACCTGCTCCCCAGAGTCATGGTGAGGCGCGGGGAGGTGGGAGTGCCCGTGCTGGGGAGCAGGCACGGGGGCTGGCGGCCGTGCTGTCCTCGGAGCGCGCTAACTGGCCTCCCTCCTGGCGCAGCGGAGGAGCGCGGCTTCTCCCCGGCAGGTGAGTGGGTGGCGCCCGGGCGGGCCTGCACTTGGGGCCCGAGGCGAGGCTCACGCCCCCTCCCGCCCCCGCAGCGGCGCTCCCAGAGAACCCGGCGGCCCTGGTGGTGGTGCTGATGGCGGTGCTGCTGCTCCTGGCCCTGATCAGCGCAGCCCTAGTCCTCTATCGGCGGCGACAGAGTGCGGAGCGCGGGGCCTTTGAGGGTGCCCGCTACAGCCGCGGCAGCTCCGGGCCCGGCGAGGCTACTGAGAAGAACATTCTCGTGTCTGACATGGAAATGAACGAGCAGCAGGACTAGAGCGGCGGGCATGGTTGGGGCCCGCGGCAGCTGGCCTCCGCCAGCCTGCAGAGGGGAGCCCCAGGGTCGCTTTGGAGGCTGGGGCGTGGCCTGCGCTTGGGGGTTCCCCCTCCCACAGCGGCTGGGCGCAACGCAGCGTGGTGTTTCCCTCCCTGGGGGCCGGAGGTCTCACCCAGGCTGTGCCCCCCGCGTAACCAGAGGGGATGGGAGTGTGAACAGGAGGCGCCTGAGACCCTGCAGCCCCAACCTACTGTCCAGGCCTGCGCCCCCGTCCTGCTGCTGCAACCCCGTCCACTCGGGCAGCCCCTCTTCTTTGTTCCCACCTAGCCACCTAGGCTCTTGTCCCCTCCCCGTGCCCCGCCCTGATCACACTCGGCCCTTGCCCTGAGGTGGGGACCCTGGGGGGAGGCCTCTTCCCCTGGTGGGTGTCAGCTGGTGGGCCGGGCACTCTCGCTCTGCGCCCGCTGGAGTGGCCCAGGGTGTGGCAGTGCGCGCCTGGATGTGTTAGGCCCGAGAACCAGGGCGTTGGTCTGGTATCTGCTGAGCTGGAGATGGGGCTGGGAGAGACACCCCATCCTCCCAAGGGGGAGCTGGGCTGGGTCGGGTGTCATCTCCTGCTGGTCGGGGGAGGGCTCTGTCCCTGAGAGTCCCCTATGGGGACCAAAATAAGTTACCTAACGGTCTCCAGCTCCTGGTTCTGGTTTAGAGTGGGGAGGGATTGCCAGGGTTCTAGGGACTGGAAGAAGCAGGAGCCCACGGCGGTGCCCAGTGCCGCCCTCTGCTGGGACCAGAGCGACCGCGCCTTCCCGTTCCAGAGATACCAGCCCTGTGCATGATCAACCCTGGGCCAACACGTGGCCAATGTGAACATGAACCCGAAGACAAGGTCCCTTTTTGTAGTTCTCGATTTTAAAAAATGTGTCATTATTGTTAAAAAAAAAAAAAAAGAAAGAAAGAAAAGAAAGAAAGTCAAACAAATAAAACACCTTCCAGAGGCTTGAGAGAGAAAGGCTCTTGTCTGGTCCTGTGCCCAGCCAGGCTCTTCACACCCTTGAGGGATGGATGTCGTGCAGCCTTCCATGTGCCTCCGTCCCTCAGGGCGTCCCTGAGCCCCAGGGGACACCAACCTCGCTCACCTCTCTGGGCCTGCTCCCCCTGTTCTGGGGACTTGTACGTGGGGGAGAACCAGAGCCCGGAAGTGCGAGGCTGAGCAGCTTCGCTGTGGTTCCACTGCGTGAGCAGGAACCACACACAAGATGCAACTCCCGTCGTGCTTGGAAGGGTTCTTAGGGTGAGCAGGGCTTTCGAGGGGACGTAGTGAGTATTACTTCTGGGAGCCTTGGAGGTGTCCAGGCCACTCTGGATGGGGCATCATCCTACTGTCCTAGCAAGGCAGGCATCATACTTGCAAACCTAGCTGCTAGAAAGTTCCTCGCTGTCCTTGGGGACGTTGGGCTCTGGAGCTACCCCGAGGCCGTTTCAGTCTGCCCCTTCAATTCAGTGGTGTCTGAGCTGGAGGTAGAACTCAGACTCCAGCAGAGGGAGCACCAAGGGAGGAAGACTGAGCCTGGAGGAGGGGGTGAGCGGTGCAGGGGACCAGGGAAAGGGGAAGCTGGGTCCTCCGGCTGGAGGGCAGCGGCTCAGGGAGTGCATGGTTCCTGTAGTGGGAGGTGGGGAGTAGCTAATCCAGCTGACCTTTTACTGAGATCCTCCTGACTAGGAAGAACGAAACACAATGGGTAGGAAATGGCAGAGTGAAGGCAGGAAGTGAGGAAGCTCTTGAGGTCATTCAGGCACCGGAAGGTGGTGATTTCTTTGGCTCAGGACTGCTGCAGTGTTGGATGCATGGAGTGTGCGTGTGTGCTCCATGTGTGTGTTACCCTGTTCATGACTTTAAATTTCTACTTTTCTGAGTAGACAGTCATCATGTAGTTTAAACGCTGAAGGACATAAAAAGATCCACAAAGACACCCATTGAGCAGTCTCCCTCCCGCTTCCAGTCCCACCCAGTACCCACCCTCCAGGCGGGTGGTTTCCTGTGCCTCGTTCCAGTATGCCTTTATGAAAACACCAACAAATAGGAGCGCCAGGTCTGCCTGAAAGGATTTCAGATGCACTTGCTCGGGTCAGATGTGTTGGTGGGGAGACCTTCCCAGTACCGTGGGGGACAAGTGCCCAAGACGACCTAGGGAGGGCCCGGGAGCTGCATTTGGGAGCTAAGGGCTCCAGGGCAGCAGGCACTGTGGAGGGGCTCCAGCCTAGAGAAAGGAATCCCAAACAGGGGAGGTCCTTAATGATTAATCCACTTCACCTCAAGAGATCACTCCCTTCCCGAGTCAAGTGTTCTGTCACTGGCCGTGAATTGAGGATCATTTGACAGGGTGCTGGGAACCCTCTGGATTCCCAGGGTCCCTTTTCCTGGGAGAGAAGGCAACAGGGCTGAAGGCAGGGTCATGGCTGCTGAGGAGCTGGAGGAGCAGTGGGGAGAATGAGGACCCAGGTGTCCAGTTTGGCCTGGAGCCAGCACAAGGTCCGTCAGCGCTGTTCATTCTGCTTACCTTGGTGGCTAGAGGCTTGGCAGGTCCTGCATCCACCTGGAAGAATTCCCCAGGGCTTCAAGGCGCAAAGGGTCCCCAGGGAGCTTGTCCTAAGCTCTTTGCTGGAGCCCCCCACCACTGATGGGGGCTGGGGATACTCCTGGAACCCTGACGGGGCGGGAGGAAGGCACGGCCCAGTCACGCGCCCTCTGGGTCCAAGAGACCTGATCCTGCTGGAATGTGTGCAAGAGCTTGTGCGACTTTCAATTCAGGAAATGTGAAGTGCCACCTCTATGAGCCAGGCTCTGCCTGTGGCAGATGCCCTGAGGCCCGGCCCAGTGGGCCTGGGCAAAGGACACTGTCTGCCAGGCTCCGAGCCAGCCCTCACTTACAGGCTGAAACCTGCTCAGCTCTGGCCACCTGGACGTCCAGTAACTGCTCAATAATCTGTGAATGAATGGGAAAACGGGCACCTCTCCCGATTACCCCATTGCCCTAGTCTCTGTCATGTGAGCCATGGCTTCCTCCCAGGTGTCCTGGCAGAACTGGCCTGGCCCAGTGGGCAGCTCTGTGAAGCCACAGGGGTGAGCAGGCAGCCAGCCACACCACGTGGCTTTCTTGGAATGGTGCTTTCGGAGCCAGGCCAAGCTGCTTGGAGCCCAGGGCTCGAGTGTGCGGCAGGCACAGGGAAGAATGGCTTCCTGGAGGTGGGCTCCAGAGGCGGAGGGCAGGGAAGGGGAAGTCAGCAGGGTGGTGCGGCGAGCCAGCGTGAGCAGAGTGCCAGATGTTGGGCCAGGTCTGACTTGCTTTATCCTAGCAGCTACCAAGAGCCCTTGAGCCGTCTTCCCTGCAGCCAGAAACGGCACCACCTGAGGGGCTGAATCCACCCTCTACTGACTCAGAATGCAAGGGCGATGCCACACCTCCCCACAGCGGGCTGAGGGAGAGGAGGGGAGGCAGCCGGCCTCGGCAGGCAGGCCGGCCACTCGTTCAGGGTCAGAGCACCACCCACCTTCTTATCTCAGATGGCGGCAGAACTGGGTTTTCAGCCTCTGCAGGAAAATGCCAGTCTGCGAGGGTTTCCCAGGCCAGCCAGTGTTTTTGCCTCTGTTCACAGACGTGTCTGCCTGAGGCCTTGTGGGGTGTCCAGGTCCACGGAGGAAGCGCCTGGCTCCAGCGCAGTGGGGCTCTGCTGGCTTTGCGGAGATCTGTACCCCAGGGTCTGGGGAGGTGTGGGGGCGCCTTCCTTGCACTAGGGTGGCAGAGACTCAGGATGCTGTCTTGGACACAGTCTTTCTACACGGTAATGATAAAACATATTTATTAAGTACCACCACCCCTCAGGGTCCCAGGGGGGTTTGCTCAAGGAGCCCTACAGAGACCCAAACCTGAGGGTGCCCAGAGCCCCTTATGCAAAATAGCTTTGCATTTGCATAGAGCTCACATCACCCTCCTCTATACTCATCTCCAGGGTACTTGTAGTATCTGATACAATGTAGGGCTATGTGATTAGTTGTCATATTTTTTTCTTTTTAAAATATATTTATTTTCCATCAGAAACCAGCTGAATCTGTGTATAATGAAATCAGGGACACACAGGACAAGAGGATGGCAAGTTCAAGGCCCCCACCCCCACCCCCACAACTGAGTGAGATCCTTTCTCAAAAGAGCAAATGCTAGGGGCTGGGAGAGTGCGTGGTGGCAAAGCGCTCCTGCACACACGTGCTGGCGGGGAGGAAAGGCCTCGGGGAGCTTGTCATTGTCAGAGACTGCCAGAATGTGTCTCCACCCATCAGTCAGCTCACTGAAAGTGTCAGAAGCCTGCTTTGAGCCTTAAGGCCTAACAGTGACCTCCGTCCTTTTGTTCCTGTAGGCTCTGTCCCACCCAGGCATCAGTGGAGAGAGATATGAGGTGCTGGATTGGGGCAGAGCTCCAGGGTACAAGATGCAGAAAGCTGGGGGTCTCAGTCACCGCACCACACACTTACACTATCGCTGGTATTTTTTGTTGCTGTTTTTTTGCAGTACCAAAGATTGAACTTGGGACCTTGTGCTTGCCAGGCAAGTGCTTATGACACTGAGATATCTTCCTGGCCCTATCACTGGTATTTTAAAATGCACCCCGCCAGCAGCCAGCTCAGCCCCCCACTCCACCGCTGACCTGGCTGGTGGCATTTGGAGACTCTCTGCTGCCTGTATGGCCTCATCCACCTGAGCTGGCCCTGCAGCCCTTGCAGGTGCTCCGCCGTCGGCCCTGTCCTAGATATCGGCACCCCATACCCCACACCCCATGCTTCGAGTGCTCCCTGCCTCCAGCTCTCCTGGGCTCCCCACCGGATGCCCTCTCCTCCATGTCCTTTGCTGTTCCCCTTGGCCCTGGTTATTCCACACTCCTGACTTTGGAGCTGGGTGAGATAGTACCCTTTTCTTGGCAGTGGGGTCCAGGCCTTGGCCAACAGCAACTTAGACCCCTGGCTGTGTGTGCTCAGACGACGTAGGGTTAATATGACCTAGCAGGCATCCGGTGCCAAGGCTGGTAATACCTTGACCCTTCCTGTGGTCCCGGTAAGACTGAACTCCATGTGATAGGAATCGTGCCTTTTCCTACGTCCTTACTGCCTGCCAGGTATGTAGGCTGTGGAGGATGACTATGGCAGGGTCGAAGTGCCAGCTGCCTGGAGAGCCAAAGGCTTGGGAAAACCTCGCAACCCACCCTATGCCTCCACTTCCACGGACTCTGGCGGCAACTACACCATGCAGGAGGGAAGCATGCCCTTCCCAGCTCTGTATTTGGATCAGTGCGACTCTGCTCTTTCGGCACGTGGCCCTGTGGAGTTGACGTCTGGGACAGACGAACCCCTGGCAGCTCAGCCAATCTGGCTCTCTTCAGCATTCCCAAATGTAGGGCACAATCCCTGATATCCTGTGTGGCAACCTTGGGCAACTGCTTCAGACACTGTCACATCTGACTGTCACTAGAGCTGTCAGGACATGTAAGGTAGCTCGGTCTAGCCATCCTCAATTGCCTCAGTTTCACTGGATTGTTTATTTTTAAATTGAGATAAATTCTAATTTGCCAAGCAGGATTTGCACTTGTGATCCTTCTGCCTCAGCCTCCCAGAGTGCTGGGACTGCAGGCATGTGCCACCATGTCTAGTTCACTTATTTGTTATATATTTATAGAGGTGAAATCTCACCGTGTGGCCTAAGCTGGCCTCGACCTCCTAGGCTCTGGTGATCTTCCTGCCTCAGCCTCCTGAGTAATGGGGTTAAAACCTGAATATAAAACTTACTTTAAAACATGAAGTGTCCCTTCTTACATATTTCTCAATAGTGATTTCCGAACAAGTCTGCACCCACACTTGAGGTTCAGCTAAAAAACAAAGGCCTGCTTTCTCACAGGGCTGGGGAATTTGGGTGTCCGGAATTGTATGTGGGCCACAGAGATATTCTCCACTTCAGTGGCTCATGTAGGCTAACAGCCAAGATGCCTGTTCATTTTGCCTTTGATCTCGGGCCTCGGCTACCTGGCTGAACCTGCTTATTCTGAGTAGTTGCATCATTTTGCTTAACTGGCCCAAAATGTCTGAGGGTGGGGCAGGATGTTTGCGCTCGATGGCTGGCCTGCCCAAGTCCCCTTGGCACCAGCATTCACTCTGTCCCCAGCAGGAGCCTGTCCTCCGAGTGCCCCAAGCTTTTCTCTCTTCCTCCTTATTCCAAGCCTTCTGTTTTTATTGTCTTCTTCCACTTTCCAGGCAATTTATGGGGGCACACATTGCAGTTGGACCCTCAAATCCATACACTGTGAATGTGTGTTTGGTGAGCCTGAGCAGATCCCTCCGGCTGTGTGTCACCACGGGCCTTCCAGCCCTTCGCTGCTCTGGGAGTCCCGGCCATCCATCTGCCCTCGCTGTCCCCTCCCTTCCCAGCTCCCAAAGGCCATGGTCTGCGTTCTGTCTCTGTGCTTAGCATTTTCTAGAAATTGAATATAAATGGAATAATAGATCATGTGGCTTTTAGTGTCTGGCTTCTTTCATTTGGCACAACACATTCTCTCTCTCTCTCTCTCTCTCTCTCTCTCTCTCTCACACACACACACACACAACTACACAACTTTCCTACTGATCCTTTCATCCTTTATTCACCCCAAGTCCTGACTTAGTCTTTGGACCCCAGGATGCAATTATCAAAGAAACACTGTGCCCACACACCCGCCAGGGCCCGAGCGAGTGCTGTCTACCTCAGCCCAGGTGCCCAGGATGCAGCTCCCCATTGGTGCGCAGCCAGTATGAGTGGAGGTGAGGCTGTGCTTCTCTCTTCTACAGCTCTGGACCCTCGGCCTTTGTGCAGGAAACAAGCACGAAGCAAGGTGTGAGAACAAAGTTTACTCAACGTGTGGCTACATTCCACTCAGGGTGAACTGAGGCCCAACCGGTGCCCTCCAGGGTGGGACCCCAGGCTGCTGGACCTTTCCGGGCTTGCAGGCCCCCGGCAGCAGGAGGAGGCCAGCAGCCAGCTGCACAGCCCCCTTGTTGCACGTGGAAGCCAAGCCAGGCCCCAGAGCGGGTGCAAAGTGTACACTGTGAGCACTGGGCTTCGGTTCCAGCACAGAGAGGGGAAGGGAGGAGCTCTGCCGAGCGCTGTGCCGTCCCTCTAGACGATGCGGCTGGGATAAACGCTGCTCTCGGTTCCGTCTCCCAGCTCGGAATCTGGAAGGCAAGCAGCTCTCTGACCCGAGAGCCACCTAGACTGAGGCCCTCCAGGGGCCTCAGCATGGCGCTGCAGCTGCTCCTGCTCCCACCCTGGCCCCTGCGGCCAGCCACACACAGGGCTAAGTGCCTGCAGTGCCTGGAACAGTGTGGGGAACAAAAGCCTGCAGCCTCCCGATGGCGCAGTGTGGCCCCAGCCGGATGGGACAAACGAATGCATGTTGGTAATCTCCACATTCCACAGCTTGGTGGCTGTGTGGCTCACAGGCTCACAGGCTGGACAGCTGAATGAGCCTCTGCTTCCCTTTGGCATAACACGCCGCATAAGTCCCACTTTCTTTTTTGCAGGCAGGGTCTCACTAGCCTGTGCTGGCCTTGAACTCCCAGTGATCGTCCTGCCTCAGCCTGGGATTATAGGCATGTACTGCCGAGCCTGGCCAGCTCCCACTTTCTCACGCGATGGGCAGGGGAGATTAGGCTAGGGTTCTAAGGTGCCTTCCAGTGACAGTGGCTAGACGTGGAGGGACGTATTAGGAGGGTGGTAACAAGGCACTGGCGTGGCAGTACAGGCCAAGGAGGACAGGTAGAATGAAGGGCCCTCCTTATCCTGACGGCTGACAGAAGGCCACGTCCAGCCGCCCCTGCTGGACCCTCTCAGTGCCACCTTTGCTTCTAGAAAACCCCAACCCCAGAAGGTGCTCCAGTTCTCTCAAGCACCCTAAGCTGGCAGCACTGGGGGTGGGGGCAGCGCGGGGCCTCACGTCTGCCCCTGCTGCTACCCAGCTCCTGTCCTCAGCCACATGGATACCGGCAGGTGGTACTGTTCCCTTCCCTGGGCTTGCTCTTGCCTTGGTCACAGTCATCTGTGCCAGCTGGGAAGCAGCTGTCAGGGGAGCTGGGTCCCAGAGCCATGCAGCGAGTTGGCACACACCCAGGGCCTCTCCCTAGGCTCCCTTACCTGGTGGGGCCACTTACTGAGTGGGGATTTGATTCCTAGGTGGGACAAAGCAAGCCCAGTGGGCGCAGTGGCACACGCGCCACAGAACTCAGCAGCTGGCCCCACTTGCGCCTGATCGTCCTGCTGGCTTTGCTTTCCCTTCCTGTTCACCTGACTGAGCTGGGGCAGCAGATCACAGCTGTGACTCAGCACGGGCAGCCCCTATTGCTGCCAGCCAGGTGAGTCATGCCAGGCCAGAAGAGACTGTGCCCGGGTAGGCCTGATGCCTCTGGCTCTACCTTGAGCTTCCTTGGCACTCCGCTTGATGAAGTCTCTGGCGGCAGGCCCGTCATAGGCCAGGGCGGCCCTCCGGGCAGTCCCTCCCCAAGGCGGTGCCCACAACATCTCAGGGGTGCAGGGCAGGGTGCAGGGAGAGCTAGCTGCGTGCACACAGGCTGGGACCGCTAGGGTGCGCTGCGGTGAATCCTAGAGCTTGGCGTTCTTTCCAGAACGATGTGCAGCCCCCGCGCCCTCCAGGGTCGCCCTCAGGGCCCGCTCGGATTCGGGGTGAGGTTTTCCTGGTCTCTGAACCTGGTCTCTCCTTGAGTGGGAGTGGGGGTGGGGTCACCCTCGGTCGGCCGAGCGGCGGGCGCAGCTGCACGCGCCGGGCACTGGGGGGCGCCCTTGCCTGGCCGAACCTACCCGGGCGCGCCCGCTCCGCGGGTTCCGGGCCGGGAAAAGCCGAGGGCGCCTCCGGGGCGCGGCTGGGGACCCTGCCTGGCCTTCTCCGCCCGGACAGCTGCCTGGCGCCCCGCGCCCGGCCGAGCTCAGGGCTCGAGAGGCGGGGCGCTCGGCGGCACAAAGGCCTTTTGCACACCTCGCAGCTCCCCCTGCCCGGGCAGCCCCGGCCTCGCAGGGCGGGAGGCGCTGGGCGCGCCCCGTTGCGGTCTTTTGTGAACGAGGAGCGGCTCCCCGCCGCTCCCTGGACACGGCCTGCCCGGCTCTCTGGGACTGCGTGCCCTGAATAACAAATAAACTGGCTCCTAGGGTCGCAGTCGTGCGCCCCGGGGGCCGGGAGCTGCCCACCCGTCGCCTGGCAGCCTCTTGGGGCTCCCCGAAGCGGCCCCGAGGCCCCCGGCCGGAGGAGGCGCTCCAGGCTCCACCCCTTGCCCAGGCCGCGGCCCGCCCGGGGGGCCCAGCGTCCTTGCTCGGGGTGAGTTTTCCTGGTGATCCTGGGTGTGAAATTTCTCCCCAGGAAGCTCAGGGCCCAAACTGTCACGCGCCCCTCTGTTCGCGCAGCGTTTCTTTCCGCTGCGGATGGAGAAGTTCCTCCCGAGTCGGCCTTGGGGCGCTGCTGCATTAATTAAACTCGTTTTCTTCCCCAGCTGGCATTTCTGTGAATTGGGGAGAGAGGAGACCTCTGCACGCTCCGTTGGGAGAGAGCGGTGCTGCCGCCTCTGGGGAGCCTTGCTCCCGACACCTGTTTGCTTTGCGCGACCTCGGAATCCAGCAGACCCTCCTGGGCCCGTGGTGAGGGAATGCAATCCAGAGACTTGCCTGTCAGTGAATGTGGTTTCTTTTGGTAACGACCAAACGGTCCATTTCAGGGCGTGGAGAGGAAAATCTCAGACAGGATCCTAGCAGGACCCCCACCCACCCCCGCAAAAGAAAAAAAGCAGGGGGGAAAAATCTCATAAGAGGTTGGAGAAAAAGAAAAAAGGAATAGAGAACAAAACACTCTATATTACACTTGCTGGTGCTCTCTGCCCCTTTGGTGATCTTTTCCCTCACGTTCAGGATGAATTAAAATTCTTATCTGCTTGTTTCCAGCGTGCTTGGACTGGCCTTCTGGACTGTTGGCTGTAGCTACAGCTTCCCACGCCTTGTAGGGTTATTTCCGCCTCTGGGTAGTGGTCATGACTTCCTCCCTCAGTTTAGGGGTAGCACCGTAAACAGAAAAGGTGACTGAGCACATACCCTCAGAAAGGCAGGACTGACCCCCGAGCCTACTTTCATTTTCTTCTGGTCTGGGTTGCGGATCATTTCTTGACAACTATGACAAAGAAGACAATGAGAAATGAAAAGTTTTCCCAATGCAGTAGTGAACAGATGTACAGTTCCCCAGTCTCAGGAATGTTCTAGGAACCCCTTACATCACCTTAAAGGGGCAGAGAGCTGGGGAGATGGGCAAGACTGTGTGGACACCCGGCATTTGCCAGGGCTTCCTCGCAGCCATTGATCGGAGTAGCAGAATCCAATTCCGATGGTCCACATCCCACTTACAGGCCAGGCCGCAGGGCACTTGGCCACTTGCCTCACCCCTGGCTTTTAAACAATCGGTTGTATTCTCTGCCCAGCAGGAAGCAGCAGACCCGTCAAGGCCCTGGGCGCTCTCTTTGTTCTGACTTTATGGCATTTTGTGCTACAATAAGCCGCACTGTGTACTCCGCGGGAGCCCGTTGTGCCAAGCAGCAAGGACGTGGGCTCCTCTGCAGAGGGGCTGGTGCCCTTCCCCACGAAGAAGAGGGGCTTTGTCACCGGCTGGGGTGCCGGACACTGTTACTGGGCCACAGCCTGGCCAGTGGAGAGGCAGCCCTGGTACCTTGGCCACTTTTGTGCCTGTAGAGGGAGGCAGGGGAGGATGGAATTTCGTCTCAAGTAGCAGGTCCTCGTTACGCTGTAAATTATACAGCAGGACGATGTTAACCCCTGCCTCCACTTTCTCTGGGCTCCTGGGGCAACTTTACCCTGCCACTAGATTCTCTGCTAGGTGATGGTGCCTGGGTAGCCCACCCTCACAGTATACTGAGAAGCTCCAACTGGGTGAGTAGGAAGTTTTTCTAACTGGGGATCAAACCTGGACTTTTATTATTTTGGGTAGATTTGGTCCCTTGAGGCAAGAGCTCTTGGTTCAGTAGCAACTGAATTTGTGGAGAGTGGCTCTAGACATGGTCTGTCCAGCCAAAGGAATGAAGGGACCCAAAGGGATTTCTAGAAAGCTTCTAGATTCTACCTGCGCCTGTCATCAGCAGCACACCTGATGCAGAAGGCAAATTATAATGCCTTCAGGAGACATCACAGTAATCACATAGAGCCAGGACCCAGGCTAGGAGGAAACCCAGGATGGAGGGTTTCCTCCTGGGAGGGCAGGACCCAAACAATGGGACATCCTATGTAGCTGTGAAATAAAAACGGTGCGGAAGGAAAGTCTAGTCAGCTTCATCTCTGGGGCTGACTGTGCCCCGTTGCACTGAGAGAGGAGCCCTGTGGGGTCAGGTGAGGTACTGTGTTCTTTGGAGTCCTCCATCCCAGCACCTGAAGCGCTTCCCACAGGCACGTGCAGAGAACAGCGGCAGCACTCCCTTCATCCCTCCCCTTCTCCACACTCATCTTTCATGGCCCCCACATGAGCCCCTAAAGGCTGCGTGCCATTTCAGCTACACAACTGCCAAATCTCGCAGCCCATCAACCACTGGCCACACACTCTTCCTTAGCCTCCAGAGCCGCGCCCAGGCACTTCCTGGTGGGGTACTTGCCTGTACCCCCGGCTTGCTTCCTGCCTGCCTCAGCCACCAACTCGTACACCACTGCGTTTCCCTCTGCGTGGATTTCCTTTCCGTCCTACTCACCCTGTCCAACTAGTCTCCAAGATTCAGTCTGAACACGCCCTTCGGGGATCAGTTGTGAGGAGTGATAATGGAAGTGGCTTTGCTACCTACCAGGCTCTTCTCAGTGAGGCCTGACAGGAAAGGCCAATGAAACCTGATGGATTCAAAGCAAGGCACCCGCTGGAGTCCCTAAGCCCTGAGCTGCAGAGCCCGTCCTGGAGGCGGGGCTGGGGGAGCCCGCATCGGCGGTTCCTCGCTTCCTCTACCTGCCGGCCGTTCCCTCCTCTGCCACGGTCTCTGCCACGGTGCAGCACGGGTTGGGGTACTCTTGGGTACGAGTGTGTCCTCTCCTTGGCTCTGAGGCTTGGAGGCAAGTTGGGTCGTAATCATCTCTGCATTCCCAGAAGCTCGTTTGGGGCTGGGTGTATAGTGGCTGTGCAGAATAGGTAGAGCGCCCGGGCTTTAGGAGTGTGCCTTACCTAAAATTCTGTTCTTTCTACACATTTGTACTTTTACCTTCTCCAAAACATAATTTAAGACTTGCTTCCTGAGAGAAGTATGTGCACTCTCCTGCCTTACTGGCCCTCCTCTGGCATGTCTGAAAGCACCCAGTGTTCCTGAGGCCCATAGTGCCGGGCCTGGGCCGCTGTCAGCTGTGACTCCCGTGTGCCCAGCGTGAGGAAAGAAAGACAGGCGCGGGAGGCCTGAGTCATCAGATGCCCCAGCCGGGGCAGACACGAGGCAGTGGCTGGACCTGAGTCCTCTTGCCTGGCAGCTACTTCTTAGTAGTTTCTAGATTTCACCCATGTGTAAGCATCGTTCACCACGTGGTCCTGCACTTCTCAAAGAAAAGAGCGTCAAGGCGTCACTTCCCCCCGCTCGTCTCAGCCCCTAGCGCAGCACTGTGCACGTCCAAGTGAGGAAATGATGGTGCCCGAGGAGCGGGCGCTTGTCATGGGTGTCCTAAGGAGGCACAGCCAGGAAGCCAGTGCGAGTGGCTCCGGCTCTGCAGTTCTGTTAGGTAAGCGGTGGGCCAAGGGCTGTCTTCAGCGCAGCGCTTCTCTTTTGCTAAATGTTACCTTTGGAGAGCCTGCTGCTTCTGTCGGAAGACACTGAGGGGTAAATCCAGCTGCATTCCGCTCCGCTGCTTCCTGCCAGGCCGTTTGTATCAGCTATTGCTTGGTGATTAAGGCGATGAAACCATTTTTAGAGCTTCTCAGATGAGGGCGGGCCAAACAGCTCGGTGGATTAAAGCACCTGCTGGATTAAAGCACCTGCGTAGGGCCAGGTTTGATCCCTGGGCCTGCTGTGCTGGCCTCGCCCCCAGGGCGTGCTGAGCGGACAGTTGAGACTGGGCGTGGTGGCACACACGCCTGTAATCCCAGCTCTTGGGAGGCTGCAAACAGGCGGATCACTACAAGTCCGATCTAGTAGCAAGACCCCAAACACCCTGTAGACCCTTCCGTAAAAATATACAAAAAGAAAAAAAGTTTCTCAAATGAAATGTGAGCGCGTGCTGAGAGGCGCCTTGGCCCTTGCTGCTTTCTACTCTGGTCCCGAGTTGCGCGTGTAACTTACTCCTTTTCTAAAAGAGTTTCACCAGAAGTTTCCTTACAGTCAGTGCACTAGGGCAGGGGCGAGCCTGTGGCACGCGCGCCACAGTGGGATGCTTGTGCCGTGAAAGCCCTAGCAGCTTTGCCGTCGCTGCTCGAGGGCCTGGTCTGCATCCAGGGCTGTGCTGCTTGTCTTCCCCTGTGTGCTCTGCTGTCCCTGCATTAGCGCTGTGACTCTGGGGCCGTCTGTAACCTACGTCAGTCAACCCCGGGTGCTCTGAAGTTCAGTGTGCAATAAAAAGTTCATTAGAAAGACGTGGAATCAGGAAAACGAAGTTACAGAAATGTTAGCACAGGATCATATCCTGCTTCCTGTACTTTCCTTTTTTTTTTTTTTAAAAAAAGTATCTCTCTGAGGAATTTATGTCATCATTAAAACTATGGAAGAGCTAAGGAAGGACAGGCCTGGGTCAAAGCAAAGTGAGATTCTTGAGGAGATACGTTGGCAGACCCAGTCCTTTTCCTAATTGGGATCTCAGTGCCAAAGGGGAAAATTTAAGCTGGAAAAGAACTGAATCTAGAATTCTTAGGACAGATGGTTTTGAATCCACATTTTTTTTAAAAATAGGGGTGCTACAACAGCTTGAGGTCTGGTGGTGCACAGCAGTGTTAAGGAATGCCTGGAATGACCACTCCAGCCTCTCGCCAGTGACTGGTGCTGCCAGATGCCCCAGTTGTGGATTTGAAGAAGGAGAAACAGGAGGGGATGGGGGGAGGAGAGGGAAGGGGAGGG